TGTGAAAACCTTGTTTGTACTGCCTACCCTAACTCACAAAGATGATGTATTAGTTACAAATGCTAGTCAAGTAACGATACATAGTGTAATGGTCACTGTTGTTTTGTTCTGTAAGTTCTATATTTGGTTGATCAATATTTAAGGGTCTTTAATAATGCAAAAGAAACAACAAATTCAACCAGGGTCTCCCACTTCAGCCCTTGAAAAGACAGCTCGTGACAAAAAATCATTACTCCTGTTGTGAGTGGCTGGAAAATGCAGGACTTCCTAAGATAAAGTTGTTACACTATGAGTATACCTGTGCTTGCTTCTTTTTCTGCCTCTGATAACCTTGATTCTAGATCCATTACCTGAAAACAAATTATTCATTTTAAATTTAACTCAGAGTATAGGGTCAGCTAAGTAAATAAAAATCTAAGAGAAGGATTTTCCAGATTCACATAGGAATGGTACTACACTATCAATAAAATGTAATTAGCAACACGGTTAATCACTATATAGAAGGTTTGAGCTAAGTGCTAATATAATGAATGATTCAGTTCAGTTCAAATGGTAATCATCTAGCCTTGCACATGTACTTTGAATAAAATGCTGGTGTAAAAAATAAAGTATATCAGAGGTCTAGAGCAAAAGTAGCAGATGGGTAATTTTGTACCTTTCCAAGGCAACTTACTGTATACTTAGTATATGGGTAGCTTTGAGTCTTGCCAAGGCAATTTACTCTATATTTAGCATATGGGTAATTTTGAACCTAGCTGAGGCAGCTTACTGTATATTTAGTTATAACTACCCACGACAACTACTCTCGGACAAAGGCACTTTATTTAGAAAAACTTTCTGCATCACATTGATTCAAGGTCAGCAAGTACTGCTGGTATCTCATACCAGGGCCAAAAAAAAAGGGAAAAAATTATTAAATGACAGATATCACTCATATCTGCTTAATTAAAGTTAGTGTCTAACCTTCTTTTGTAAACGAATTACTGACGTCCATTTCTTTTCCAGCAAACCACTATACTTTTTGTCGAGTTCGCCAGGCTGGAGTTGAGGAAAATCACAATGAGTACTTACAAATCCACAAAAAGCACAAAAAATGTAAATCTTTGTCTGTATCTCAATCAAGCATTCCAACACACACCAGCATATCAAAGAGAATTCTTTTTACATCTGTCATTTTTAATAATTTGATCAGACGTTCTACTGTCAAAACTGAGCTTGCTTGAATTTTCTTTTTTTTCTGGTCTGTTATGGCAATTAGAGGTATAATCAAACTGAATAAGATTTTAAATGTATGTAGTAATTTGTTGCACTCCATTTGGAATAACCTTACTGGCTTACAGGTAGAGCAAAATAAATCCCAGAATTAAGTTTCTTCCCTACCCACTAAAAGGGTTACTCACAAGTTCAACAAGTTTATTGGAGTGGTTACAAAGCCAATGATCAAAATAAAATATTCTGAAGTAATTGACTTGGAATAAAGAAAGAATAAAATCTAGAAAACTTGATAAAACGCTTAATGATACAATCCAAGCCAAATTTGAAATACAAATCGATGTAATTAATGAGCAACACTAGACTAAACCAAACATTTTACTGCAAATAACTAACTGCATTAATGTGATCTATAGTTAATTATTAATAATTATGGTTATTGAAGTTCCTTTAAACATGCTTCTCTTTGTTTATTTCACAGTTACTAGAGGACCCCCTGGAGTCCACATAATAGTTGTTAACTTAAAAAAAAAATTCAAATATTCAAGAAGACTGAGTTGGAGGACAAATGCAAACAGTGACATTAAAAGAAATTATGCAATGCAGCTTTTTAGGGCATAACTTAAAATGTATGCCATTATACCACAGCAATTGGGGCCTTATGAACTACTTTTTGACACAACATCACAGGTGCAAATGGTTGACACAGACAGGGAAGAATGAACTTTGAACAAGTGTACTTTCACACGCATCCAAATTGAGTTTAGAGGTAAAATTGACAATTAAATCCACTATTGTCATCATATATGGAGGGTTTGTACAAATTATTGTTTGACTATCAAGGTAACATGACACCACAAAAGAACTCATATGACAAGAGCTAAGTGCATCTAAAACAAGGTAAGCACAGTTGGAACAACTTTCTCACCATGCTTGCATCTTTTTTGAAAGCATTTAAGGCATCTTCAAAGCCACACTGATATAGATAATCTGCTATGGCTTTATGACTGTAAAAGAAATAAAATAAATTTGTATGAAAAATCAACAGCTAGAGCTGTCTTTAAGGAGAGGTTACGTTGTTTAGACGGAAAATTGTGAGAATCACTCTTGCCAAGCTGTTTATAACTAAGTACAATGGCCTAATCCGCAATGATCCTCACCGCTTAGAAAATTTACCCGGTTTATTTGCAATAAACGTATTCGACATGATAGCTGTCAGCAAAAAGTTAGATCTTGTTCGTTCTTGCTCGCCGCAAACACCTTATATCAAATAGAGTATTGAGAAAAATAGCGTAAACTCCCGATCGCACACACCATCTTGAAACTACAGGTCAATCAATTCGTAATAATAGAGAAATATACAATCACTTACAGTTCTTCTTTCTGTCTGGGAGTCAACACCATGGCTCAAATTTTTTTCTAGTCTTCTCAGTCAACTTTCATTTAAATCAAGTAGCTACATTGAATTGCAGTGAAAACATTCCTTTCGGGGTGATCTGCGCACTGTAACCATCACATTTGTTCGAGTAACGCTGGCAGCCACAACCTCTCCTATTCCGAAAGGACGTACAGAAAACAACAAATCAATCAAAGGTGCAAGTTTTTATCCAAAGGACCCTACCACGCGAGAGGAAACCGGTTCAATTGTGCCGGTTAGGATATCGTAATATCGTTTTATAAAAGTACATCATTGAACAAAGTCACCTAACATGATCACAGTGAAACTTAACTTTCTAGGGGGCCTTGGTTGAAAGATCGTTTTCGCTTTAGAAACAAGACTTAACGGGCCTTAGAGGAAACACTGTCGAAATTCAAAAGGGTTATGCCTTAAACAAAAAAGCTAAGTGAATGTCAGATTGCCACACAGTCATAATATTACGCATATTTTAACAGAGGCAAGCAAAACCCACCCATGCTCTGAACTAACTATGTGCTAGCTAGCCATCAAGAAATTACGTCAGTTTTCGTATTTACAAAGCTTTCACTCAAACAAAGACTAACCTTGTCGTAGATTCGCCTTACGTTATCCTCGTCACTTTCACAAGCGGCTCTTCGACCGCATAAAATACCACAGAATCGGCTATTTCTCCTTCACAGTCTATCAGTTTTGAACTCAAACACCGCTCGATTTCAAGCACTTCGTAAAAACGGCCAACCCATGATGCAAAGCGACTAAAATGCGCATGAGCAGCCGGCTAATTTCGCGGTGTGTTATGGTTATTCTAGCGCAATATGGCGGATGCTAATTCACAGAATTACAGAACTGTAACGCCATCTTGTGATCACAAAGCATTAAAAGAATGCTTGGATAGAAATAACGGAGACAGATCCAAATGTAAAAAAGAATGGGAGGCATTTCAACGCTCATGTACTGAAAATAAAAGGTAACTTATTCCATTTAATTAATCTCAACGTCAGAGGAGAATATTTAAGCGTCAATACTGCATTGTTTGTGTTATAAGGTTTTCCATTTATTTCGCAATGATCGCAAACAATGGTAGAAATGTCATCAAATCACCACTTAACATTAAAAACAGAACAAATCGGTTCTCTAGCAATGTAAAATTGAGTTTGGTTTATTACTGTGGGGAGTGGGGTCACTTCGAACTTCGTTCCTTTGCGTGTACCCCCGGTATTTGAATTTTTGGGTTGTATATGTTTTGTTGTACAAAAGTTCAAATAATTGCAACTGTAAAATTGGCATGTTATATTCCAATCCAGTCTAGTTCAGTTTACTTGCTGTAAGCAGGGCCAAAGAAGCAGGGGGGAGGGGATGGGGGGCCAAGGCCCTACTATTGGGGAAAATGTAAAGACTATTAGTGAGATTTACATAGAGAAAAATTTTATCCTTTTGTTAATTTTTTTAAATTATGGTTTGTCAGCTTGAATGGACAATTGATTTTTTCTGGATGCCTGAGTTGTCCATTATCTCTAGTTTGCTACCTGATATGTTATTTCAGTGCTCTTAAATGTGTCAATTATCCTTAGTGGTATAAGAGTTTTTATTAA